CAGAGCCAGGAAAAACATTTACAAAATGATTGCAACAACATAAATGGGGAAAAAACAACCATGAGACAATGGAAAAAATATTGCAGAATCAAGAACAAGCTTGATCCCAAGCTTCAAGATGTATGAGAAGCTATATCCCTTTGCTCATGTGCAGAGATGGTGGTCCACATGTTCGAAATGTTGTACATGTCAGATATTTTTTGATGTGTTGTTGATTTTGTTTTTTAACTAAAATTTTTTAATTTAAGAAATGTGTTTTCTTTCTCAATGCCAACCCCAATGAAAAGAAAAATGAAAAAAGAAAACCCTTGGAACAAATATGCATAGTTGATCAAAATAAATTCCCTCATTACCTACATCCAAAAACTGTATGTCTATTTTTGTACCTTTGTCCACCACCTCTCTGTCAGAAGATAGTGTGCTTCATCATTGACCATCTGGAATTATGGATGACCATTAAATTGGTCAGAAGCCTTAAGGTTTTCACTGTTTTTTACAGTGTTATTGTTATCAAATTAATTGTTCTCCTCTTTCTGCTCATTTCATTGTTCATCACTTTATACAAGTATTCAAAATTGTTGAGTTTTATAGTATTGATGTTATATAAATGACTTTTCTGTTTCTGCTCACCTCATTTTGTATCAGGTCATAAAAGTCTTTTCATGTCCCTGCAAAATCTTTTCCCCCATTTCTTATAGTAAAATAGTATTCCTTTGTATATACCACAGTTTGTTCAGCCATTCCCCAATTGATGAATATCTCCTTAATTTTAAGATTTTTTTGTCACTCCAAAAAAAAATATTTTTGTATTATAGGAACTTTTCCTCTTTCTTTGATCCCTTTGGGTTCTAGCAGTGCTATAGCTGGGTTGCTGTTAAGGAACTTTTTACATGTAATTCCAAACTGCTTTTGAGAATAGTTGGACCCATTCACAGCTCTATCAACAGTGTATCAATGTACCTGTTTTCTCTTATTTCCCTCCAAAATTTGCTATTTTTTCTGTTCTTTGCCAATCTGATGGGTATGTGGTAGAACTCAGAATTGCTTTAATTTGCATTTCTCTAATTATTTGGAGTATTTTTCATCTGGCTATAGATAGCATATATAGATGGGGGCACCTGGTTGGTACAGTGACTGTAGTACTGGGCCTAGAATTAGGAAGATTCATCTTTGTGAATTCAAATCTGGCCTCAGACACTTACTACCTGTGTGACCCGAGGCAAGTCACTCAACCCTACTTGCCTCCATTTTCTTATCTGCAAAAGGAGCTGGAGTAGGAAACGGCAAACCACTCTTTGCCAAGGAAACCCCAAATGAAGTCATGAAGAGTAGGACACAACTGAAATGAATGAATAGCAACATAGATAGTCTGCATCTTTTCCCTTGAGAACTGCCTATTCATACCTTAGACCATGTATCAATTAGGGAATAAAAGTCTTATTCTTACAAATTTGAATCATCTCTCTTATATATACACATTTATTAGACAATCCTGCTGCAAAGATTCTTTCCATTTGTTTATGTAAAAACCTTTTTAATTTTACATAACCAAAAATAACCATTTTATCTTCTGCAATCCTCTCTTGTTTGGTTATAGACTTCTCCTCTATCCATAGATGTGATAGGAAATGTTTTACTTGTTCTCTAATTTGTTTATGATATGACCTTTTATATCTAGGTCACATAAACATTTGGAGCTTATCTTGGTATAGTGTGAGATAATAGTCTAAATCTAATTTCTTCCATGCTACTGTCCCATTCCCAGCAGTTTTTTATCAGATGGCGAGTTTTTATTTCAGTAGCTGGAGTCTATTTATTGAATACTAGGCTACCAGCTTCATTTGCTTCTATATGTTGTGTACCTAATCTGTTCCACTGATCGATCTCTCTATTTTTTTAACCAGTACCAAATTGTTTTGGGAATTACAATTTTGTAGTATAGTCTGAAATCTGGTATAGCTAGGCTCTCTTCATTCTCATTTTCTCCCCATTATGGCTATTGGGACTTGACCATTTTTGTTTCCATATAAATTTCATTATTATTTTTTCTAGTTCTAAGAAATTATCCTTAATTTCACTGCTATTGCTGATTTTTCCCCTTTCTTTTTGTAAAAATAAACTCTTTGTCATAAGGAAGAGAGGCATATAAGAGAAAATATAAGCAAAGTAAAAACAAAAGATACCAGTAATGATCTCTGCTCAACCAATGAATTGAGTGAACAAGTACATATATAAGTAGATAAATAATAGGGAGTTATCAGATACCACCCTTCTTCTCACTGATATCCACGCTCCTGCGCAACAATTCCCCAACCAAGCCCCACTCCACTCTACCCTTCTCCAGATAATTTTGTCTTTTAAAAATTTATTGGGGAATATAATTTGTGCCATTTGCTCCAGAATGGTTAAATACATTAAGATTTATCCGGAAGGCATACACCTTTGCATTTCTCTAATTATTAGCGATTTGGAGGATTTTTGTATGTGTATATCATATGAATATATGGCATATATTAATACCATACTTGGAATAAATTAGGGGCAAGCAGGGAAAGAGCAAGGCTGAAGCAACTCATGAAACTACAAACAGTCTTGGAATCAGTCCATCTGAGTTGATAGAAATAATATTCATACTAGCAAATTTCCTGATCTTTGAAACATAAGCAGTATTAAGGTAAGTAAGACCTCAGTGAGCCTTGCACGGTATCTGGGCCTTGTATTTTAAAGTCTTATCTGTTTACATAATTAATGAATTTTAGAGGTGGAAGGAACTTCAATGGCCATCTAATATTTAAAATACATTAGTCCCACTAAAATCTAAAAAGGAATCCCTACTACAACATGGCCCATAAGTGGTCAACCAGCCTTTGCTGGTGACTTAAAATAAAGGGGAAAGTACTACTTCCAGAGATACTCAAATACTAATTGTTGGGAAGTTCTTCCTTATATCAATCCTAAATTTGTCTTTTTACAACTTTTTCTTATTATTCCTGGTTCTTTCTTCTTGGGTCAAATAGAACAAGTTTTCTCTCTTGAAAGTCAGAAGTCCACTATATGGTGTCAGGTACAATATAGATTCTACATGCAGGTAGAGGTTGGACTAGATGTCCTTGAAGTCCCCTTCTATCTCAGAGATTCTATGATTTTTGTTGGGAGAAGGGGACGCATGACTGGGGTTTAGGGAGCCTGCATGTTGAAATGGAAAGATCACTGAACTTGTAGCACTGCTGGAAGAGTGGAAAAAAACAAAGATTCTGAAGTCAGAGGACCTGGGTTCAAAATTTAACCTTTGATAACCTTGGGCAAGATACATAACTTCTGTGATCCTCAGTTTCCTTATTTATGAAATGAGTGGGTTGCACTAGATGACCTCTGAGGTCCCTAGAGGCAGCTAGGTAGCATAGTAGATGGAGTACTGGGTCTGTAGTCAGGAAGACCTGAGTTCAAGTCCAGCCCTAGATACTTACTAGTTATGTGACCCTGGGGAAATCACTTAACCTCTGTCTGCCTTCATTTCCTCAACTATAAAATGGAAATAATAATAATAACACCTACCTCACAGGGGTATTATGAAGATCAAAAGAGATAACATTTGTAAAACACTTAGCTCAGTACCTAGCACATAGTCATAGTACATGCTTTATAAATATTCTCCTTTCTCCTTCTTCCTTCATCCTTCCCTTTCCAACTCAAACTCTAAGGTGCTATAGCCTTAAGTTCAAATCTCTGTGTTCAAAACCTGAATTTGCCACTTACTCAGTCAAGAAATCATCTAGTTGATAAACATTTCTTGAATATCTACTTTGTACCAGGCACTGTGCTAAGCACTAGGGATACAAAAAGGGGCAAAAGACTGTCCCTGCCCTCAAGGAGCTCACAGTCTAATGGGGAAGACAACAAGAAACAAATATGTACAAACTAGCTACATGCAGAATAAATAGGGGGAAAAAATTTAAAAAGGGAAGGCACTTGAATTAAGAATGGTTGGGAAAGTCTTCCTGTAGAACAGAGGTGTCAAACAGGGCTCAGGAGTATGGCCCAAACCAGATTAAGATGTAATTGGGGAGTATTTATCAAAATAAATAAAAATATAATAGAACATAGATAACGTTGATATGGTGAGGCTTTGTTAAAGTCAATACGTGGCTCTTAGAGATCTTTATGTATAATTTAGTGGCCCCATTTCTATTTGAATTTGACACCCCTGTTGTAGAAGATACATTTTTATTTGGGACTTGAAGTAAGCCAGGGAAACCAGTATGTGGGTATAAAGAGAAAGAGCCTTCCTGGCATGCAGGACAGCCAGCCCTCAGCTGAGAGATGGCACTGCAAGGAGGTCAGTATCAATGGATCAGAGTGCTGGATGGGGAGTAAGGTATAAAAAGACTAGAAAGGAGTGGGGTGAGTTATGAAGATCTTTGAATGCCCTTTGAACACTGGATTTTGTATTACATGCTGGAAGCAATAGGGAGCCGCTGGAGTTTATTGAGGTAGGGTGGGGATAGTTGAAATGATACAAATTGAACTTAGGAAGTTATTTTTAAGCTATGTATGTTTCCTTCTCTGTAAGAGAGTTGAGCTAGAAGGCTCCCCTCCAGCTCTATAACCATGATCCTATGGCTCTAGCTATGGAATTCATGAGTCTCTAGGGAGCACCTCTTGCTAGCAAACCCTCATGCTTTTTCATGATACTTTTCTGAATTTTTAGCAGCTGTAGTTCTTTAGAACAAGACAAAATTTTCACAAGTAAGCATTGACTAGTCAGTCAGCTCAAGAGCATAGTGTTAGAAGGAATTAGCAGTGACCCAGAAAGTGTGGACAATGAGTTCTGTTCCCCACTCTACCCATGGCTTATTTAATCGCTGATCAGGAGGGGGAAATCACAGAATTCAGAGCCAAAAAGGGGCCTTTGATATGTGATCTGGCCTAATTCCCCTGTTCTTTTTGAAAAGATAAAGTAATATTCACTCAGAAGGGTTAAGTGACTTGCCCAAAATTACCTGGATGTCAAACAGCAGAGCCTAACTTAAATCTGGATCTTCTCACTCCAAATCCATGCTGTTCCTTGGTTTCCCCATAATGCTTGCATGCAGTCAGGATACTCTTCCATATTAGGCCAGAAAATTGCAAAGCCAGTACGTTTCTGAAGAAATACCAGCAAGTCAAAAAATCAGTCTAAAACCTCAATTAAGAAAACACAGCCATAGAAGAGAGCACACTGGATTTAAAGTCAGGAAGTTCTGGATTTGAATCCTTCCTTCTACACTTCTTAGCCAAATAACCTTTGGCAAGCCTCTTAATCTCTTTAGTTTCTTTAGTTTCTTCATTTGTAAAAACTAATATGGCCTATAATACCCATTTCACATATATAAGGAGTACATCAATTTTAGTTGTTGAGGGGAGGGAGAAAGGAGAGCAAGGCTTGCCAGATTCACCAACTCTGTCTTTTTCATTCTCCTTCCTGAGTGGATTTCCACAGCTACCAGGTATATTATGAGAGTATGAGTTGAAAGAAGCTTCTAACTCCTCCACCAAGTTCCTTTACAATCTTGTTAAAGGTAGTCCCCAGGATGATTTGAAGGTATCCAGGATAGTGATCCAGAGGCATTAGAGGGAGTTAAAAGGAATTTTAGACCATAATTCATATGACTTATTTAGACTAGGAGAAATTGAGAGACAACAGAAGTAAAGGATGGACTTAGAAATTCCTAAGGGCTTCTCCAGTGATTAACTTGGGGCTATAATCTCAAAGGACTGAAAGATAGCCCTTGCAAGCTACCTCACACACCTGAAGATCAGTGGGTACCAGGGGGTAGCAGTCATAACAGCAGAAGTAAGCTCAGCAGAGATACCCAGCACAATCACATCACTAGAGAACCCACATGGCTCTTCAGTGTCCGATGGAATGATTTATACTGCCTATGAGTGTTCCCTGTGTGTGTGTCTGGCTTTACATGTTCTCTAGATATGTGTTCCTCCATATGTGCTCTTTGGTGTATTCGTGTTTGTATCCTCTCCCCCAGTGATAATGTGTTCATTTATGAGGGAATGTATTGCTAGATGGGGGGGGGGAGGAATGTTTCTTGTCACTTATTTTTCCACGCAGTTCAGCTAAATATCTGTAGCCTTGAACTAATGTGTCCTTGGGTTAGCCTAATAAATGAAAACATTAGTGGGGGCTTATGAGCTTAAAAGTGGAGGTTGAATCATGAAGAGCTTCAAATCTGGCATGGCTTTCTGGGACTCCATAAGAGAAGGGGGTCCATAAGACCTGGATAGAGCTGCCCACTACTATTATTGAAGAAATGATCAATCCCAGAAGGAAAAATATTTGAAAGCATTTCCTCTGCCAAATTGCTCACCATTTAAAGGACAGCTTTCAATTTGCTTATTTAAAGAGAAAAAAGATAGCAGAGTAGGGAGATATTATAAGCAAAGGGAAAACTGCCAACTCATAAAAGCTTTTCATCTACAAATAACTTTGTCTAGACAGTCCTATCAGATGAAAAATATCAACCTGATGGCAAGAAGAGGGCAATCCCTTTATTACAAGATTTCCCTGCCACGTCTTGTTTAGAATACAAATCTGCTGGTTGGCAAACAAGTTCTCCTTTTCCTTTTGCAGCACTAATCTCTAAAAAAAAAATTAACAATAACCTCTTAGCAGTTAATTTAGATTTAAAAATCACGCCACTGAATAATTACAAGTTTTGCCAATGATTGTCATTTTATCTGCATGTCTAGTGTTTCAACAGAAAATGATTGGCATATATTAAAAACCTGCCAGCTACTAACCCAGGAAACAATAAAATACTGATCTCTGCCAGAAGGGGGTGGGGCACAGAATGTCTGATTTGAGAGGAATTTTTCTGTTTGAAATCACATTATTTGAAAGGAGGGGTACTATCAGCTCCCCACCTGATATAGCAATGCTATCCGATTCTTCTCAAGTGCCCACATAGGGTACAAAGCTTCATAGTGAATCCTCAGGACTTTACAGTCTTTCCCAACTAGGTCTTTCCTATACAAGTACATAGCTTGTAAGTAGGTAAGACAGACCATGCTTTCTAAGATCAGTTTCCCATTCTTCTCATTTCCTTTACTCACCTCCCCTAGATTTTGTCCTTGATTCAAACAGTAGCTTTGCTAGGGAATGAGGGCAGGAAGGCAGTGAGGGAAGGCTATTTCTATCATAGATCAACTATTGCATGGTGTTCTAAAATTGAGAGCCTCTCATTTGGAATATTGTATGCTAACCAGTATCTCTCTCCTGCAGTTCATCCTTCATACTAATGCCAAAAAAGCATAATGCAGAGGTCTATCTATGCCATTTATCTGCTCAATAAACTTCAAAAGATCACAGATTTAGAGCTGGAAAAGATCTTAAAGGTCATCTAGTCCAACCCCTTCATTTTATAGATGAGGAAAGTGAGGCCCAGAGAGGTTAAAAGCCTTCTCAGGTTCACACTGGTAGTAAGTGGCAAAGCTGGACTTTTAACACAGGAAGTAGAACTTAAATAATAGGATGACAGACCTAGAGATGGAAGGGATCTCAGAAGTCATTTAGGGCAATCAGAGGTTCCAAGTAACTCTCCCAAGGTCATATAAATTTATAAGGGGCAAAGACAGGATTTGAACCCACGTCTTCTGATTCTAAAGCCAGCAGTCTACACCTGGCTTTCAGTGGCCCCTTATTGTTCCTAGGACAAGATACAAACTCCTTAGCTTGACATTTAAAGTATTGAACATTCTGGCTCTATATAAACTTCACAGCCTTATTTCCTAAAAGAAATAGAAATTTCTAATTTCTCATGTACTCTGTGTTTTAGCCAACAGCACCACTATCTGTTTCACCATAGCTACTTGCCATCTCAAACTTCTATGCGCAAATGCAGTCCTCCCTTCCCCAGTCATCCAAGACTGGAAGGCATCCCTTCCTTCCTCTGATGAAATCCTCTTCCTAAGCCTTCTAGGCTCAGTTCAGGTGCCATCACCACCAAACCCACTCAGCTAACAGTGATCTCCCTCCTCAAATCTTCCTACAGCACATTGCATTGATCTCTCAAAAAAAGGTACGCCCTTTGAGTCTACAAATGGTTTCATTCTTTATATTTGCATCCCAAACACCTAGCACATTGCAACACCTAAGCACCTATATAGTAGGTGCTTAATAAATGTTTGTTGATTGATCGATGGATCATAGAAAGTCTCTCTTCCTTGCCTTCATCCCATTCTACCTTATTGGTCAACATGCCATATCCTCCCTTTGTTATTGTGGTTGTTGAGTCATTTCAGTTGTGCCTGACTGTTCAGGACCCCATTTAGGGTTTTCTTGGCAAAGATACTAGAGTGGTTTGTCATTTCTTTCTCCAACTCATTTGACAGATGAAGAAACAGAGGCAAACAGGGTTAAGTGATTTGCCCAGGTTCACACAGCTAGGAAGTATCTGAGGCCAGATTTGAACTCGGTTCTTCATGTCTCCCAGTCTGGCACTCTATCCACTGCACCACCTAGCTGCCCTCCCTAAAAAACTGTAAACTCCTCAAGGACAGAAAATGGGTTTTCTTTTTTGTATTGTCTGTAGTCAGACCTTAGAAAATACTTGCCAAACTTATTTGACTTCTTGTTTATCCTTCATTCTCAAAGAGGACCATGACATCAGAAAGGTGATGCCATGACTTGGCAAGAGAATTGGATGCTGTGCAAAGTCACCAGCCTCACTTTTTCCTCCAGAGCCATCTAGGTCCAGTGGCAAGATATAGATCAATATGACTGGAGATGACCCTGGATGCATAAAGAGGCCATGGCCTTTTTAAGCTAAAGTCTTTCCCAGGTCTCAGTCTGACCAAGGCAATGCTCATTCAGTGATTAAGGCTAGGTAAGAAATGAGGCAAAGAATGGCCTCTTTTACCTAGTCATATAGATACATAGATACATAGGTATAGATATGGATATAGATATGGATGTAGATATAGATATAGATAGATATAGATATAGATATAGACGTAGACGTAGACATAGGCGTAGGCGTAGGCACAGATGCAGATGCAGACACACAGATATAGATATAGATACAGATACAGATACAGATACAGATACAGATACAGATACAGATACAGATACAGATACAGATACAGATACAGATATAGATATAGATATAGATATAGATATAGATATAGATATAGATATAGATATAGATATAGATATAGATATAGATATAGATATATGACTAGGTAAAATATACATCCAAAAAAGTTGTTGTCCTTCATTTTCAAAGAGGACCAAAATGACATCACTATGCTAGAGTCAAGTTTTAGTGTGTCTGACTGTGGCTGATCAGACCGATATGAGCTCAGAGCTCAATATGTACCACAGGTCAGGCACAAATAGTCTGTGTGAACCTTTGGGGTGGATTCTCTCAGTTTGCGTATCTTGCATTTCTCTTGGGCTATTTCAATTCGGCTTTGCTCACAGAGCATAGCATCCTTTCTGATGTGGGAGCACCACGCTGAACGGTCCTGTGCCAGTGTCTCCCATGTCATGCAATCAATTCCAAACTTCTTAAGAGAGAACTTGAGAGTGTCCTTGTACCACTTCTTCTGACCACCATGTGAACGCTTGCCCTGTGTGAGTTCTCCATAAAACAGTTTTTTTGGCAAATGTACGTTTTGCATTTGAACAATGTGGCCAGCCCATCGGAGTTGCGCTCTCTGAAATGGAGTTCAAGAAAGGACCTCAGTGTCTGGCATCTTATCTTGCCAGGTAATCCATACATATATATGCACATACACACATACACATATACATATATATATACATACATACATACATACATATATATATACATACACATACATATGTATGTATATATTATATGTATAATATATACATGCATATATGTGTGTGTGTATATATGTATATATATATATACACACACACACACACACACACACACACACACACACATATGCATGTATATATATATATATATATGGCTTTCTGGCCAAAATAGAAAACATTGCTATTTACATTCACTCTGAGCAATCAGGCCCAAACAACATTTGATTTAGGACTTCATGGAGAGACTTCAGGCTTCTTGAGGAAATCTCTATCTGATGACACATTCATATCTTCTTTGGGTA